TGGAGGGAGGGGAAAAATGAGGAGCTGATACCAAGGGCTTAAGTGGAGAGCAAATATTTTGAGAATGATGAGGGCAACGAATGTACAAATGTGCTTGACACAATGGATGTATGTACGGATTGTGATGAGTTGTACAAGGCCCCAATAAAATGATTAAAAAAATAAATAGGAAGAAATAAAAACCACCAACAATATTTTAAAAAGCCAGAGGAGAAATTTCTTTTGTGAAACGAGTGGGAAATATTTAAGCCCACACCAAATTGAGGTTGGGTCAACAGGGAGGTCAACTGACCAAGTAGCGTACCATAGTTTGATCCACCATAATCGAGTTCCCAATAATCTCTGTCTGATGGTAAAGCTGTTTGAGTCCCTTGCCTGAGGCTGCAGGCAGTCTGCCAGAGACTTCATCTGACGAGGTTCTAGTACGTTTTTGGATGGCACCGAATGGCCACAGCATTTGTCTTCAGTTGATCACGTCAAAGAGACCGCACTGACATGGTTACATTCCCAGGACCCTCAACTCTTTAGGGACTGCTCTTGATGGAGTTTATGTTGAGAAATAAAGTCTACATTTTTATTTCTATCGTTTGATGATGTTCTTTTCATGGACTTTTTGAAGTCCCATTGTAATCTTGTAATGTCTCCAATCGATTTTTCATTTTGTTATCAGGATCATTTTTGGGAAAACCTTGAAATAATTTTACCTTAACAGGCTTTATAATAAAGACTGAAATTCTTCGTATGAACTCTAAGGATTGGCACTTTCTCGTCTCGGTTGTGTGTCCAGCCCCATAGCTGTCCTTGAGATCCTCAGTATATCCTATTATCTGCTGTGCCTCAGGAGGCTTTGTAATAATAAGTATGTTTGGGGAGGAAGGCTTTTTCTTTCTCCTGCCTTGAGGATCCGAGTATCAGAAGCAAGCCACCTTGGGGAAAATGAAGGCTTTGTGTTACATTTTAAATGTTCTCCCTGTCCGGTTTAACTTTCTTGTTGGGTACAATTCATGCTCAGCCTCGTGCATTTTAGGGTTATTTCTGATAACGAGCAATTTCTTTCCCCAAACTAACATGATGCTCTTTCTTTTTCAGGATAATCGCATTCATACATCAAAGTACAACATTATCACCTTCTTGCCAATTAATTTATTTGAACAGTTCCAAAGAGTGGCAAATGCCTATTTCCTTTTCCTTCTGATTTTACAGGTAATTTCTAAATTAGGATGTGTTTCAACAAACAAATAAACAAAAGACAATATTGTTGAGAAAGAGGGGGGTTGGGACAAAGACCCAAAGCCCATCTGTTGACAATTGGCCATCCCTCGCAAAGGGGTAACAGGGAAGGGATGAGTCAATTAGGGTGCAATAAAGCACCTATGAGACACACACTACTCCTCTGGTTCCTTGAGGCTTCCCCACCCCCCACTATTAGGACCCTAGTACTGTCTTTCATTGAGGGCTAGACCGGAGCATGTGCACAGGTACAGATAAGAGATAGGAGCCCTTTCACCTACCTCCCCCTCTCCCCCAGGAACAGGAATGGGAGTAGAGATACCAGGAAGGTAGAGGGAAGTTGGGGAAAGGAG